TAACTAAAGTAATGCAGTAATCACTTCACAATATATGTAAGTCAAACCATTATTCTGTACACCTTAAACTTATACAGGATCTATGTCAATTACATCTCAATGAAACTGGAATAAAAACAAAACTAATCACATCTTCCACTTTTCATACACTCTGACTTGCAGTGTGCTTTATTGTGATAATGTGAAGTGCAAGAAAAATCAGCTAAAATTTAATACTTTCCTCCTACCATTTTTTTTTTTTCTGGGAAATTGGTATTTACATTCTAATTGGAATTCTGTAATTGGTCACTAAATTTTTTTCCATATAACCTCAACCTATAACAGGAATTGAATAATTGTTAATATGAAAGATGTATGAATGTGTATTCTGAATGCTTAATGCTCAGTGAGGTGATTCAACAAATGGTATTCAAACAAATTTACTAATGGGGAAAAAAGAAACCTCAATGCAACGTATCAAAATACATTCCAAAAGAATTAAAGATTCTACCCACACACGTGAGAGAAAGAGACAGAGAGAGAGAAACCTAGTTTCATTAGAGATACATGTAAATATATGTATTTTGGGGTAGGAATAACCTTGCTAAAACAATGCTAAAAAAGAAAGACTTATAATGTAAAACTTGTCAAACCAGTAAAAATGGTCAACTGGAAAGCAAAATTGCCACGTGACAAAGGAAAGTTTAGCACCTTTACGCTTAAAGAGTAGAAATTTGTGAGACTCCAATTCTGCCCCCGAAGAACCGAGGGGGCCACAGAGCCCCTCAGGCTCCCTGTTCACATGCCTCGTCGACACCCGCCCCAAGTGGGGGGCCGTGGGCACCCCTGAGACTCCCGTCTCTTCCCGAGCTCCCACGCGAACCTGCACTCATTTATCTGTCGCCCTGTGAACTCTAAGCCGCCTGGGACATTAACCTCTTGTGTCTCCCAGGCCTGTCCAACGCCTTCACCCTCCAGTGTCCTCCGGAATGCATGGCCTGTCGCTGACAGGACCTCCCATGTCCCCGACTTCTGCAAACAGTCTCTTCCCTGCCCTGTGAAACGTGATAGCGAACATCCCCTGAAGAAACAGCTTCCCATACAGCCCTGTCACGTGGTAGCTGTTTCATCCTCCTGGTCCTCCGCTGCTTTCAGCCACTGCTCCCCCATCCTCCTTATAACCCCACAGTGTCCCCGAAGCACAGATCGTTGGACGAACCTCCGAGGCTGCTCCTTAGCTGTCATCTGGCATTTTCACAGCGTCCGCTTTTCCTTGAGGACTTCAGCTCCTGGCTTACTGTGTCTTCCCTCCCATCGGGACCCCTTCTGCCATTTACGAGACGGCCTTCCGCAGACAGTCCCTGGCCTCCTGGTTCCCTCGCACCCTCGCTGTGCATGGACTTCTCCCCCAACCTTGGCCGTGCACTTCCGTGTCCTACTTCATACCTGTCACCGCCAGTCACTGCATTGCCTCCAAAAGCCCAGTTTCGAGCACGTGCCTTTCTACTCGGCTTGCCCCCACTGGCGTGGGAGCCCACCGCCAGTTCACTGAGATCCGCCGCCACTTTGCAAACGACTACCGCCTGCCCCGTGTCCCTGCTCACCTCCTCGTCCATCACTGTCATCGTTTTCTTTCCATGAAACCTCGATTCCTTTTCTCTTTCTGGCCCACGAGTCTGACGATACCTCCGACTTCTCTCCTACTTCCTGTCCTGCACTTGAGCAGCAAACACGATTAGAGGAAAATAAATGACCTCCTTGGCTGGTCTCAGTTCAGCTTGTGACCGTGAACCTCCACTGGGCTCTCAGCACTGCCCAGCGAGGCCACTGCATGTCACTATTCAGTCAGCTCTCCCGACTAGTAACCATCCCTGCTCTCTTGAACCCACTCCCTTGTTCTCACGGCTCCATCGAACTGTCCTTGCTCCGTCACCAAGGACCTGCCTGCTGCCGAAGCCGATGGTCAGTTCTCAGTCCTCGTACTATGCTGCTCTCGGTATCTGGCAGACGAGCATCAGTCCCTCAGGAAAACAGACTCTCCTCCCTTGACTCCCAGGACACCTCGCTCGCCTGGTCTCCCGCCTGCTGTAACCCAACCGGCCTCGTCCTGTAGCCCGGGTGACACAGGGTCCAGCGTGACACAGGGTCCGCATCGAGTGCCTCCAGCGCCCGCCTCCCTCCGGGCCCGGAACTGCAGACCCGCCTCCTGGGAAATCACCTCTGCTTGGAAGCCTGCCAGGAACTCCACAATTCACAGACCCGAAAGTGAATTATTAAATTCTTTCCATTTTTCCTTCCCAGGTCTGTCTCAGCTCAGTACATCGCACACCCCATTGGGTCAGGCACCAAAAGCTGAGATCTGTCTCTGACTCCTCTTTCCACCCCACGTCCAACCCATCCACACGTCCTGTCGTCTCTACGTGAGATGCCACCGTAACCCAACTGCTTCTCACACCTCCACGGCCGTCAGTCACTCTGGTCTAACTCCAAAGAGATCGTAGCAGACTGGGACTTGTATGTGACCGAGTCACTCCACAGTCGGTGACCCTTTTGGAACTCAGACGAGATCATGAACCTGCTAGTGGCTTCCCACTACTCTCAAGCGTGGACCAGGTCCTCACGGTGGCCCTCAGCCACCAGACGCGGCATCCCCAGCCCTGCAGCCTTGTGCTCTAAGCCCCCTGGCCTGCTCACTGTGCCCGCCCGCACTGGCCGGGGTCTACTTCGTCACGGCCCCGAAGCACAGGGGCGGTGATGCCGGCCATTGGGGTGTGCCACAGGGAAGCTGTGAACTTTATCACAGGTAGGTATGTGCAGGAAAAGAGACAGTACATACAGTGTTGGGTACCATCTGCGGCTTCAGGCACCCACTGGGGCTCTTGGCACTTACCACCCACAGAAAAGGAGGACCACTGTATGACATAAGTGTCTTTAAACAGAAACACGCAAATAGCAAGGTTATCTGTCGATCGGTTGACAAAATTGCTGTGACCAGAGGTGGGAACCTAACCTGCATTTCCCCAAGGAGCCGTGTGGCAGAGCCTGCTGACTCGGGTTCACAGCGCTTTGCACAACTTCTGCAAATGACAAGAGTCGCCTGTACGCCTCTCCTGTTACCACCTGACAGCATGAAGTACCTCCTTGTTCAGAGGGCATGAACTTCCTTTCCTAACCGCCCGTCTCTGGGTTTACAGCAGTGCATTGGCACTTAGAAATTAGATACGTGAATGAATAATAAATAACAAATAAAGGATGGATTAGAGCTTCCTCAGAGAAACTCGACTGACCAACAAAGTCATAGAAAATACTCGACCTCACTGGTAATCAAGGAAATTTAAACAGCCAAGGGCTTCCTGACCCGCGATGCCATGACCGAGTCCGGTGAGGGCTCGGTGAAGCCAAGCACAGCCGGCAAGGCTTTTTAACAGTGCGTGTCCTTGGACCCCGTTCCACTCCCAAAAAGACCTGAATCTGTGCACAAACTTATCAACAATCATAACAGCTGCAACGCAGTCAACGATCACAAAATACGACAAATCACCCCAACAACCAAAAGGACTGGAGAGACGACGGGTACCGTGTAATATTATGTGACTACCCAAAAGCTGTCAAAAACTGTAAGATGAAAAATGCTCATTAAACATTAGGTAAAAAGAGATCAAACAGGTACGATAGAATCCCACTTTTATTTCTTACGGTCCATGTGCATAAAGACATAAAAACGTTTTCAGGAATTATCACCAAGTATAAAGATGGATGATCCCAAACCTTCTCGGTGTTTCTGTCTTCCTCAGTCTTTCCTTATAAACATGCACTACTTCCGTAATCAGAAATAAAAAGGGAGCGGGAGGTTTAGGAGTGAATTTGACAAATCGATTATAAAGTACTTCGTCTCTGGCAAAGTCCTGCACCCAAGACTGCCACCCTTGAACCTTGGTGACGACGGCTGCCACTCGGCACTGAGCAGGGGTGCTGCGGGGCACCCAAACTTTAGAGAAAGCTTGAGAGGCGAACACATCTTGCCAAGTTCAGCTCTTGTAACTGCCGCGGGAACCACGCTTCTCCAGCGCAGCCCTACGCCTTGCCAGCTCTGCTGAACGTGGTAAAAGCACTTCGCTTACAGGAGTGTTGAGGTTTAACTGAGTTAACGTTTCGTTTATGACAGAATCTAACTCACGGCAAGCCTCATAAGCACCGGTTGTTATTTTCTTCCAAAACAGAGCTGTTCGATGGCGCCCCACTTCAGTTATAGAAATAAATGCCTCGGGGACACAGATATTTATGATAAACTCTCCGCACATCGACACAAAAATAGATGACTTTCTCCGGTTATAGTGAGTGTACTGATCATTTACCATCACTTATCAGTCCCGGTAACAAGGTTTCCTGCCACCGTTTGTCAGGAGAGAGGGCGGAGGAGGCTGTGTGGGGCAAGCTCCATCCCGCAGCACTTGGCCAGTGCAAGGGCCAGGTCTGGACTCTCAGAGGCCACAGGTCCTCAGGGGGACAGTCACAGTCATACACCATGCACTGTGTATAAATGAGTGTTTTTCCCCAAGCATGGAAACCATACAACGCAATGTACCCAAACTATACAAACTGCCAGAAACTAGACACTACTTTTCATTTTCTTCTGAGAATTTCTGAGTGTATGTGAGACAATCTGCTGACATGCTAGCAGGCAAGGTCTCAGACGCTCTTACTTTCCCCTTTTTAACATTCCGAAATCCTTCTTGTCCTACGAGTACAAAATGAAGACAGCAAGAACACATTCTTGTTTTAGATCACATGCTTTATGGGCGGAACCGAAGGTAAACCCTCGACCAGCTACGTGTCGCTCATGACAAGGCCAGGGAACACCCACCACCTAAACACATGGCACACCTGTCCGAGACAGAAATAAATACCAAACGAAGGCGTTAATGG